GTGTTCTCTTTTGTGTGTAAAGTATGTGTAAAAAAAAGTTTTTTTGTTGCGACCGCGCCCCCCCCCCCCCCCCCCCCCCCCCTCAGGGATGGTCTGGTCGATAATGACAATTTTTTCGATAACTCAGCCATTTCGTGACAGATCCTTCTCATCTTCGAACTCGACCGAGACATTGTTAAGACTGAACTTGAACTGTGTAGAAAATTTCATCATGATCTAACTCTCCTTTCGAAAGTTATCATGTAAACGACCGGACGGCCGGACATACTGACCGATTCTAGAGTGCACTCACTTTTTGAGTACACAAAAAGATTGAATTTGAGATATGTCTTTCATTCTCCTGTTTCAAACGTGTTGTAACATATATTCCGAATCATATCTTTCATTACAAATGTATCCGTATGTTGAAAGTTCTAAACTAATACATATATGTCGCAGAATTCTGCAATGATTGTGCTAAGGGATTATTTTCCTCAAGAAATAAATTCAATTAAACTGTATTTAGGTCGACACACAAGTTTAGATAGTACTGTATTAACATCAAGTGATACTTTTGCTTTTGATAATTCTCTGTGTGGAACGAATGATGATTTTCAACCAACAATCAATACTACACAAGAGTCAAAGCCACCACCTATACCACCTCGAGCACCACGTACATGAAATGGAAATAATAAAAAATCTCGTCTTCTTCTTCATAATGAACAAATTATTATTATCCTGTCAGATTCTATTTCTTTTTTATTTTTCTTTCGCGTGTCTTTCATAAATTATTATATATCTTGTTTAACTAATGCTGTGGATAATAAAATTATAAGAAATAATGCATAGACTTGTTCAACATGTTTCGATTACATAAGAATGATACTTCAACATTTAGTAGTATGATATTTAATTCTAATTGAATTTATTGATTAACGTTCTTCTAGTCTTTAAAATCGATCTTGGATTAAATATGTCAGTGAAAATCGTTCATTTGGCGCAATTCGAAATTTCATGTCAGACATTGCAGTCTGACTCATTCGTTGTTATTCTTTAAATTCTTACTTTTTATCAGACGAACAAGTAAAGTTGTGGAGATGATTATCAAGAAATTAATTAACTTTATGATTTAATTCAATGAAAGCGAAAAAAGAAAAAGACTTGACAAATAGTTATGATTATCTCTTTGAAAATATTCTCAATTATTGTCTATCAGATATGGTATCTTGCAATGTTTTTTTATTTAGAGTTAATAAATAACTATATTACTCACAATGTAGAGGTTCTATTGTATTAATAAAAGAATAGCTCAAGGTCGAAAATAAGTTTTACATCTTCACATACTCGTTCAAATAAAAGACAAGTAATTGGATACAATAAAATATCCTTCGAGAATTCTTGGATATATACGATAAGTCATGGTCTTTTTAGATTGATTGATTGGTTTTCAAAATAGAACTACGTAGTTTTTTTTTTTCTCATGCTATTGAAACTTTCTCTAATAAAGTAACTTCATCATATGTAATAGAATAAATACAACTACTTTATTCATATCTAATGAAATAAAGCTAGATCTAATTCTGCTATCTTGTTATTTAAAATAATCTAAAATATATTTAATAATTTCATATTGTTTCATTTCAACTTGAAAATTCTACGATGCAGTGTTACCAATAATTAACAAGTTAACAAAAAGAATAAGAGTAAACGTATAGATGTAATGTATGAGAAAAGTTTAGATAATTATAATTCATTACTTTTGAATTTATACTTTGGAGATATCTAGAGAAGATTTTGTTGAATTTTTACAAAAGGATGAAATACTGAATAGAAAATTGAACATACAGTTTATAAGTCAAGCTTATGATCTTACAAATATTCTAACATTATCATTCAAAACAATTATTTCTTTCTAGTGATATTTAATGTTCAGAGATCGATTACATTTCAGAAACAATCAGAACTCCTTAAATATTAACTATATCATAAAGAAAATAATCGTTCTAAGTGAATTTCGTGCTAATATCATGTCTACCAGTACAAAACCTAACAACATTTTTACAATTCTGTGAGTAGTGTCACATTTCCAAGATTTTGGAGATGCCACCGCATCTCCAGCGGGAGACGCGGCACCCACACTCGGGAGATGAGGTCATTCACCACTAGA